TTGGGGACCTTGGGGAATCCCTGGAATTCTAATAAGGTCCTGCCAGACTGACAGGACAGTAGGAAAAGCCAAGAGAGTGCATTACTAGTACAGGATATATTTCTTTTCTCTTTGGCCAGACAGAATGATCCCTGGGTTGACAGCATCAGAAGCAAAAGCATTGTCACCCCAAGTGGAAGATTCCCTGCTGGCCAGCTTGCTGTGCGTTAGTCTGACTGATGCCCTCTGATAGAGACAGGGATATGGAAGTAAAGAGGATTAAACACACTGAGGGTAGTTATTGTCTCATGGAGAAAGCAAGCTCTCCTGCTAAAGGCTACTGACTACACATCTTTTTTATTGGTTTTTTTTTTCTGTTTTTAATCCTTATCTTTTCTTTTTTACCCTTTTTTCCTGCTTTATCCTTATCTTTTTTTTAAACTTTTTTTGGGGGGAGGGGAGGTAATTAGGTTTGTTTATCTATTTATTTATTTTAATTGAGGTATTGGGGATTGAACCCAGGACCTCATGCATACCAAGCATGTACTCTACCACTGAACTATACCCTCCCCACCCCACTGTCCGTACATCTTTGGACTTACTATATAATCTTATGAAAGGAGAAATCGGATTACACTGTATCAATGAAAACTAAATTTAGACTTGAAAATTACATGAAGTTATAAAGGACACAGGCCCTAGAACAAACTACTCAGTGGAAACTATGCTCTGCACATACCTGAAGAAGGAATGAACTGTAGCTCTCTTCCATCCAAGTGAGGAGATGGAATTCAACAGAAAAGTATCTTCTGATAGGCACGTCCCCCACAGAGAAGAGACAGGGTTGAGTTGTATAGTGATTATGTGAAATCTTTTCCCATTCTCTAAGTCAAGAATTTAAATTCACACCAACAAATCAATAGTAAATAGTGGGACCTTTTATATACTGCTCTACAGAGGGGTCAGCATGATTTAATGGAAAATCTGCCAAACTTGGGTGAGAGACCAGAGTTGATTTGACCACTTTGGCCTTTGAGATAATTATGTCCCCTTGTCTACACTGCCGACAGAACAACACAAATCTGATCATGTCACTCTTCAACATAAAGTTCTTCATGAGCTCCCATCACTTACAGGGCAAATTCTGAACACCTCTTTCCAGTATACTCCTTCATTATCTGATTCCTGCTTACCTAACTCATGTTTTACACCACGTGCCCCTCACTTCATGTCCAGCAGCAGTGAATGGTACATAGTTTCCTCAGGATGTACCATAGTCGTTCATGCTTCCTCTGCTTGTGCACCGTCCTCTTCATCTACTTGGGAAACTTCTCAACATTCCTGCCACAGCTTATATGCCACTACTCTGACTTTCCTCCTGGAACTCCTCTATGTCCACTGACCTTTATCTGTACCTCCACAATGACAGCCCCTCAAAACCCACTCCCACAGATAGTTCTTGTTAACCTAAAAGCAGAAGCCATGTTTCCATCTTTGAATTTTCAGAACATAGCAGTGCCCAACACCTAAGAGGCCTTTACTAAGTAGTGTTGAGTGGATTCCTAAAATAAAGATGGTGTAATGGGCTCCACTAGCCAAAAGAGTGTTGAGTGATGGAATCATGCAGGATAATGAATATGAAAGTACTTTAAACACTGGAAAGCATTGTGCAAGCACAAATTTGTGTGATCAGTGACTAACCGCCCTAGGCCTCATTTTATCTGACCTCTACTACCTGACAAACTTGGTTCCAGTGATGATGATGATGATGGTAGCTAACAGTTATTGAGGGCTTTTCATGTCCCACGCCCTTAAGCTAAGTGCTTCAACTGTATTAACTCATTTAATTCTTGAACAACGTTAAAGGTAAAGACTATTAATTTCTCCATTTTTTTTAGATGAGGAATCCAAGGCACAGAGAGGTTATGTAACCTGCCTCCCTGCCAAACCACAGAAGTAATAACTAACACAGCAAGGGCTTAAACCCAGGCAGTCTGACTTCTGAGTCCACACTCTACAACACAGATCACATTACTGCTTGCTACATACAACCCTGAGGATGTGACCAGGTCAGAACAGGAGCCGATTACTTCCCATTCTTACACTGCTTCTTGCTCTGGTGTTGAAGTCATAGGTAATTTTACCGCTGTAATCCTCTGCTTCCTTACGTGTGAGATGGGGAGATTAATGGTTTCTATCTCACCAAGTTGTTCAGAGATCATTTCTTACACTGCCTCAGTTAGCAAAGCCAGGTAGGGGATCAAACCTAGAGCCCGGTGCAAGTGGTTGATCGCATCACAACAGATGCAGCAGTAAAGAGAAGCAAAAGGACCACACTGCTGCAGAGAACAAGGAATCCTGGTCTAGGAGGTGCTAAACATCTATTGAGTGTATTTGCAGGTTGAGGCCAGAACCAGCACTCAAACTCGGGCCTTATCAAAGACCCCATGACGAGTAAGCAGGCTCTGTGAAGAGAATGAGCATTCACGAGACAGGACCCTGACTTCTTATTAACTCGGTTCTTTGGCTTTGGCCGGTACTAATGGTAGCAATGATTGACAGAACAGGTAGAAATGGAAACAATTATCTACAGTACATCACAACAGGAGAGTTGTGTGAGTAAAGTGCAATGGAAGCGAAGAGAAACCCGCACTGATGGTGCTTGGATCTCGAACAGCCTTCAAGGCTTGTCCAAGACTCAGTTCAACCTTAAAAGGAGTTTCCATGCAGAACATGGCAGCTCTGTCCAGCCAAGCAACAGCAAAACTATGCCAGGCTCAGGGCTCTGTGAGACTCAGAGCCACTGAGGGTCTCTGAGAGTACTTGATTAAACCTATTAGGATCTCATTCCATTCCTGGACCAAGCTACTTATTTGTCAAGCCCCCAGAGAAATATGAAGCCTTTATTCTGTCCTAGAGAAGAGAAATAAAGGCACAGACAGCAACTTCATATACACAGGCTAGTTGAATCAACAAGGGGGCTACTGGAACCGAAAAACAAACAGAAAGACTAAGCTAAATGAACACAGCATTGCCCCTAGGCTAGGGACTAAAGACTGGGTAGAAAACAGACAAATCTGCTGTTAACCAGAAATGAAAACCTAACCGGGAAGTTTTTATAAGGATATCTTGCAAATGCTCTGAATGTCAGAGAAGAGAGTGAGCCTTTAGAAGGAAGAGCTCCTGAATATGCACAACTTCAATTATTATCTAGCGGTATTGAGTCTAGAAAACAGGCTCAGGGAAACGTTATCATCAGATGTAAAGCAGTGAAACTCAAGACATAATAGATGAGATGAGCCATCTGCAGAAGTAACTCAACTTACAACATGTTTTGTGAATGTGTTTGCGGAGAAACTCAGGAAATCCTGAGTCCAGTGCTCTTGACTAAAATTAACCACGTATTTTATGCCTCTGCGCCTTTGCACACGTTTTTCCTTCTGCCTATTTTCTCTCCCGGGGCTCTTTTCTCCCCTTTCTCCAGTCTGCCGGGTAAACTATTTTTTTCTTTCAAAATACAGTCCAGGCATCATCTTTTCTTAACCTGCGCCTGAGATCAGAATGAATCATGCTCTCGTCCCTCCTACATGTGCACGCTGTACATCGTATTATTATTATTTGAAACTCTATCCTCACTGAGCACATTGCAGATTCTGTGAGTACAGAGACCAAACCTCTTTCTCCAGCTTCATCTACTACAGTGCCCAGTGGTGCATCAGGTCTTTAGGGGTGGTGGAGGGAATTGCAGGATTGGCTTATTAACACTGTAGTAGGTTTAAGGGCAGTATCAAAATCTACTGAGAGAGAACTCCAGTTGTTTTTGTATTTGTTTTGTTTTGAATGAGAAAGAGTGGTATAGAAGGGAGACAGATGTGTAAACTAAAATGTCAAGTTGCAAAAAAAATTAATTAATTAATTAAATTACATTAAATGTCAAGTTGCTATAAAAGTATACACAAGGTTGAGAACTAGTATAAAGCAAAGGAAGTTAACTGCCCGGCTGGGGATCAGAAACGTTTCAGAGAGGAGGAAATGATTGATTTGGGTCTTAAGGACAAATACGAGTTTGCCAAACAAACTGCCAGGCAGAGGGGACAACTTTACCAAAGCATGGGAATAGTATAACATTATCAGTATTACTCTGCTCTTACTCTACTCTCAGATACTCATCTAAGAGCTTGATGTGAATCAGTTCATGTGATACTGAGTTTATACTTAGGTTAGGTTCCACTGCTTGTAACAGATACCTAAAACAGTGGCTTACACAATAGCTTCATAATTCCTTTCTCCACAAAACTTCAGGGTCTCTGACTCTTTAAGCAAACTGCTGTAGTTGTGGCCTTCATCCTCCTGGTCCAAGATGTTGGCTCCAGCTCCAGCCATCACATCCACATTCCAGATGGCAGGAGGGGGCACAGAGAACTCAACTGTCATTTTATGCAGGTTCTCAGAAGTTTCCACATACATCTTATTAACCTAACATGGTCTTATAACCACAAACAATTGTAGAATACTCTGGGAAATATAATCCTTAGTCTAGGCATTACACCCCCACCTAAAGTGTAGGGGTTCCATAACTATGGAAAGGGAGGAGAGATAATAGGAGACAATTAGTAGTTTCTGTCACATACTTCTCTCTCTTTTTCAGATAACAAAACCGATGCAAAGTATGGTTGCATTATTTTCATGGTGCATTCAGGGATTTCAAGTCGTTTCTTTTGGCTCCTATGTGATATATAAGAGTGGGAAGGATGGATGGTGATGAGGCTGCAAAGTCATGTGATTTTCATTATGACATTTCACATGATCGAAAAGATAATGGACATGAAAAGCACAAAACCCAGAAGACAACGTGTGAGTAATCTCAAAGCTAGATAATTAAGAATTGGTTTGTAGATCTAAGAGATGGATTTACTAATGAGTCTGTAATTGAAGACTAAATTAATTCTATGTGATATTACTGATTGCACTGGCAGAAGATTACGTAAACCTTGCCAAAAGGACAAAAATCATTTGACATATTTTTCAGCTTATCCTTTTAATTTTTTTTAATGCCTACTTCTTCTCTAAACAATAGTCCTATAGAGATAGAATAGTCTACTTTTAATGCACATTGATTAAACAGGGCAAGTTAATCACTGTCTCACAAATATCTTACATTTATTTATTTGATTCAATGTTAAAATGAAAACTATTTTGAAGTGACAAGTACACATAATAGAAGTAGTTAGTATCTGCAGAAGAACAACTATTCATCAACCCCAACCTACTTTTCTGTACCCTTCTCTGAATCCATTGCTTCAAAGAAGCACATTACCTCCAGCCCCATGGGCAGTGAATCATGACGGCCACTTGGTGGTGACTGTGTTCCTCTTGCTAGTGACTATTTTTGGCTTGGGCACATAATTACATTTCAGCCAATGATACTTGCTGCAAGCCTTCTCAGAAAGTGTGATGAGTCCTTAATAAAAAGAACCGGAAGCAACGAAACAGCCTGTTTTCCATTAAACACTGTTAAGTATAGATGTGATCATTGGCTAATTGCAGTCATCTTGCGAACTTGAACCTGACAAGATGAAAATTGACAGAGAAGAAAAGTGGGAAGAATTTGCATCCTTGTTAACAACCAGCCCTAGAAATGCTTCACTTCTGAACTTATGTGAGGTTAAATGTTCCTTACTTAGTTAATTTGAATTGAGCTGTTATTTGCAGCCAATAGTATCATGATATTCTACCAGAAGGTATGGATATAACAAAACTTAAAGAACAACAAAAACAGCAGTCTCCTATCCTTCCCTTCTGCCTTTCTCTCTTCTCCAGAGGGAATCACTTTCTTTTAGCTGTTTTTGCAGGTGATTTTCTCACATACTTCTAATCTAGTATGCTTAGATTGCTATTTTCCTGATTTATTCATAGGAAGAATGCTACTTTTTACTATGGAAAAGGAAAACTAAGCATTTGCATACCCTTCCACTTCCTTTCCCTGCTCTTAATATAATTTTACAACTTTTGATCAAATCAATATTGTGCTTACATTATGACTACATAAACATTATTCACCATTGGGTCAAGCCATATACTATGATTGTTTCTTTTTTTATACCATTTTTTACCCCTTGGAGTTAAAAATTATCCTCCACCCCTTTCATTTGCGTGGTTTTTCACCTGCCTATGATTAATTCTCAAACACTCCAAGAGGTGTAGTGTCCCTTCAAAGTGATTCTTTTCTTTCCTATTAAAATTTCTTGTCTTCTCTTTCTCTCCTTCCTCTCTCATTCTCCCTTCCTCTCTTTCTCCCTTCCTCTTTAATTTCTAAACCCACCTTCATTCTCTCTTCCCCCCATAACAAGGTAACCAACCAGGTAACCACTCTATGGTGATTACTATGTATAATTGTTTGTATGTTATTGCAAAATTGAATTGCTTTTTATGTATTTTAAATTTATATAATTGGTTTTCCCCTCACATGCATTCTATTTCTTACTGTTTTCATTGGATGCTATACTTTTCTTGATCAAGCCATATGGCTAAAGTATAGCTCTAGTCTGTGGCTTATTGTATTGCAGAGTACTTCATTGTGTACATCCACCATATGTTTACCTGTCTCCCAGGGATGGAATCCAGGTTGTCTCCAACTCTATGACAGCACAAATAATGCCCAATGATGGAGCTGTATACAAATATCTTTGGGATATTACACCAAGCAGCATAACTGCTTGGACAGAGTATACATGACCATGTATGTTTTTGCTCTCCAGAGTAGCTGTATCTGTGTGTCTACACTCCCATCAGCAGTGCATGAGCGTTCCTTTATGCCCAGGTGCCTCCAACATTTGGTATCAATTTAATTTCCTACTTTTTGTAATTCTAAAAGATATAAAGTGATTAAGTCTTCATTTTTTGAATTACTAAGGAATTTGATGATCTTTTTGGTTTCTTCTGAAATTTGCCTTTTAATACTCATTGCTCATTTTTCCGTTGGTATAGTTTTCCCTTACTGATTTGCAGAATTCCTTCTATTGTCTATATTTAATCACTCATTGATTTCAAGTATTTTTCTCCCATTCTGTCATTTATCTAGAGATCTTTTGTGACCAGAAATGCTTAATTTTGATATAATAAAACTTCTTTTGTTTTTGCCTTATACATTAGTTACGCTTTTGAAGTTTAAGAAGCCATCTGCCACCTCTAGGTTAGAGGTATTTTCCTATGCTCCCTCGTATTAAATTTATAGTTTTAATCTTTTACCATTTAAGTCTATATTTAAGGAACTTAGTTTTATTTTTCTCTACAAAGTGAGCAGGTATCCTCAGAACAAATCAAAAACTCTCTTTTCCACTGTCACCTTTATAAAATATTAAATTGCCATATATCCATGCTTTGTCTCTGAGCTCTATTCATTTGCACTGTTCCATGGCCCTATCAGTTTTTACTGCTATGATTTTGTGGAATGTCTTAGTATCTGGTAGGGAAAATCCCTCTTTCTAAAGTTTACTTAATTATTTGTGGATATTATTCTTCCCTACAAATTTTAAAGTAAGTTTAGATTCCTCAAAACATTCAACTGGAATTTGGTAGGATTACATTAATTTTCAAATTAAATTTAGAATGTTCACTTTCAATAAATAATAGTCTTCTCATTGGAAGCACAGAAGGTTTCTTAGATCGTTTTCTCTGTCTTTATTGGAATTTTAGAGTTTTCTCCAAATAAGTCTTATGTATTCTTTGTTAATTCCTTGATAGTTTTTAAACTTTTGCTATTGTGAAATGATATTCTTTGGATTTTCACAGGCTGACCTTCTTCTGGTAACTTTGCTAAACCTCTTTATAGTTCAAAGTTTGCTGATTGTTGGATTTTCCAGGTATATATCATTTGCAGAGGAGTTTTTTTCACTCTTCTCTTCCAATCCTTACACATTATAGTTCCTTATCTTTCCTTATAGTATTAGCCAGAATCCATACTACTTATGATAGGCTTAAGTCTTGGTCTTAAAGGAAATGTATTTTAATACAACATTTTCCCAGTAGAGTAACATTTAACGTAGATTTTTTTTTACATGTAAACCTTAACTTAAAAATTATTCTATTGATAGTTTGATGTTTATATTTTTCATAAATATATATGAAACCTTACCACATGTTTTTCTATATCAATTAAGATAATCACAGTATTTTTCCTTTTTGTCCATTGCTCTGATAGATTTTCTGATGTTGAGTCATCCTGGTATAACTGAGATAAATCCTATTTGGTCGTTTTTAAAATACACCACTAGATTTGGTAGCTAATATTTTTAACTGTGAATACATATTCAAAAACAAAATGGGCCTAACTTATTCTTCATTTTCCTCTGGTTTTGGAATCAACATTATATTAGCCTTAAATTCCATTTTGTCAATAATTAAGATTGCCACCCAAGCTTTTTGGTTCGTATTTGTCTGGCCCATCTTTCATTAAAAAAATTCTTTTTGACAACAGCTTTATTCAGATATAGTTCACATACCACACAATTCATCTATTTAAAATGTACAATTCAATGGTTAGTATGTTCAGAGTTGTGCAACTATAAACACAATCATAGAACATTTTCATCACCCCCAAAAGAAATCCTATACCCTTTAGCTATTATCCACCAACGCTCCCGTTTTCCCCAACATCCCAGCCCTAGGCAACCACTATATACATGTTCTCTTTATAGATTTGACTATTCTGAACGTTTGATGGAATCACATAATATGTGATCTCTTGTGGCAATTTTTACTTAGCACATTTTCAAGATTTATCTTAAGTTGTAGCATGTATTAGTGTTTCATTCCTTTTTATGTTTGAGTAATATTCCATTGTATGAATATACTTCTAACCATTCATCAACTGACAAACATTTGGATTTCCACATTTTGGTTATTATGAATACTGCTGTGGACATTCATGGCACAAGTTTTTGTGGGGACTTTTCAGTTATCTACACCATATGCCTAGGAGTGGAATTGCTGTATCAAATGGCAACTGTTTAATTGTTCGAGGAATTGCCAGACTGCAACTATACCTTTTTGCATTTCTTTTAGCAGTGTATGTAGCTTTCAACTTCTCTACATCCTTGCCAACACTTTTTTGATTATTCCCATCCAAGTGTGGTTTCAATTGCATTTTGCAATGTTAAGCATCTTTGTTTTGTGTTTATTGACCATTTGTATATCTTCTTTAGAGAAATGTTTGTGCAGATCCTTTGACCATTTAAAAAATTGGGTTATTTGTCTTTTTATTATTGAGTTCTAAGAGTTTTTCTAAAAAATATGTTCTGGATACAAGCAAGAACCTGTACAAGTTTTTAATATGTTCTGGATACAAGCACTCTATTATGTGCAAATATTTTCAGCCTGTGGGTTGGTATACCTTTCTTCATCCTTCGAAATTCTTTTTTAACCTATGTCTTTAAGTGATTCTTATTTATTCACTAATTTTTTAATCTTTTCAAAACTTAATTTTTTAATTGAAGTAGTTGATTTGCAATGTTGCATTAGTTTCTGGTGTACAGTATATTGACTCAGTTATACATATTTATACTTTTTCATATTCTTTATCATTATAGGCTATTATAAGGCATTGACTATAGTTCCCTGTGCTAAACAGTAAGGACTTGTTGTTTTCCTGTTTCATATATATAGTAGTTAGTACCTGCAAATCCTAGACTTTTAATTTATGCCCCCCCACCCCTTTCACCCTTGTAACCATAAGTTTGTTTTCTATGTCTGGGGGTCTGTTTCTGTTTTGTAAATAACTTCATTTGTGCCATTTTTTTTAGATCCCATATATAAGTGACATCATATGGTATTTGTCTTTCTTTGTCTGACTTACTTCACTTAGTATGATAATCTCTAGGTCCATCCATGCTGTTGCATTATTTCATTCTTTTTTTATGGCTGAGTAGCATTCCATTATTTATACCACATTATATACACCACAACTTCTTTATCAGTCATCTGTCGATAGACATTTAGGTTGCTCCTATGTCTTAGCTATTGTAAATAGTGCTGCCAGGGTACATGTATCTTTTCAAATTAGAAATTTCTCCAGATATATGTCCAGGAGTAGGATTGCTGGATCACATGGTAAGTCTATTTTTAGTTTTTTAAGGAATCTCCATATTGTTTTCCATAGTGATTGCATGAAATTATGTTCCCTACAACAGTGTAGAAGGGTTCCCTTTTCTCCATACCCTATGCAGCATTTACCATTTGTGGAACTTTTTAATGATCACCATTTTGACCATAGTGGGGTGAACTAACCCCACTGCAGTTTTGACTTGCATTTCTCTGATAATTAACAATATTGAGCATCTTTTCATGCACCTGTTGGCCGTCTGTATGTCTTGTTTGAAGAAATCTGTTTAGATCTTCTGTCCACTTTGATTAGGTAGTTTGTTATTGAGTTGTATGAGCTCTTTGTATATTCTGGAAATTAAGCCCTTGTCAGTCACGTTGTTTGTAAGTATTTTCTCTTAGTCTGTAGGTTGTCTTTTCATTTTGTTTATGGTTTTCTTTGCTGTGCAGAAGCTTCTAAGTTTAATTAGGTCCCATTTGTTTATTTTTGCTTTTATTTCTATTGCCTTGGTAGATTGACCTAGGAGAACACTGCTACATTTTATGTCAATGTTTTGCCTATGTTTTCTTCTAGGACATTTATAGTGTCCAGTCTTATGCTTAAGTCTTACGCCATTTTTGAGTTTTTGTGTATGGTGTGAGGGAGTGTTCTAACTTCACTGATTTACACGTGGCTGGCTAGTTTTCCCAATGCCACTTGCTGAAGAGACTGTCTTTTCTCCATTGTATATTCTTGCCTCTTTTGTCAAAGATTAATTGACCATAAGACTGTAGGTTTATTTCTGGTCTTTCTATTCTGTAGGTATGTGGGTAAAACTTCTTGATAAGAAGCCTTGTTTCCAGGTTTTTTTTTTAATTGAAGTGTAGTCAATTACCAATGTTATTTTCATGTGTACAGCAAAGCAATTCAGTTATACATGTACATACATATATATTTTTTAAAACTTATTTTTAAAAGTTTTCACTTTAACAATTTCAATATAAGATCTCTTAATTGGTAAGTTTAACCCACTTACACCATTTCTACATGGTCAAATGCATGGAGTAATCTGTCAGTTCATTTTTCTCCCCAGACATCTACCTTCTGACATCTCCTCCTCTTCTTCCATTCTGGACTGAATACTGTGGGCCTGCTGCAAATCTTTAATCTTGCTGCTTATTTGGTTGGCCCCTAATTTCTGGTATCTCTTGTCTTCCTTGATTTATTCCTTTTTGTGTGTGTGTGTGTGTGTGGAGTACATCCTCCAATAGACTTTTTTAAAGCTTCATAGAAAGTGAAGCTTAAAATCTTGTATATCTGAAAATGTTTTAAACTTCACACTTGAAGGTGGTTTGACAGGTCATAAAATTATAGGCTGGAAAAGCAAGTCTCTCCTGAAAGCCAAATCTCTTTTATTTCCTGGGTTCAGCCAATGAGTTCAGTGAGAAATGGATACTCTGTTAGCTAAATAAATTTGGTTGCCAAGTTCCAGAGAGCAAGTAGAAAATGTTCACTTAGCAAGGAATGTCTCAAAAAAAATTTATTGTAATCTGAGCTTAGACTAAATAGTTTGAATCTACTGTAATCTTCATGAATTTGGAGAGCCTAAGCTGAGATAGCAGGAATTTATCTCAGAACTTTGAAGGCATTGATCTACCATTTTTTGTTAACCAGATTTGCTAATGAGGAGTCTAATGCAGATGTTACTTTGTGTGTGTGTGTGTGTGTGTGTGTGTGT